GAGAAGCCGCAGGCAAAGCCTCTCGTTGCGCTGATGATCCATACAAACGAGACCGAGAAACGCATTGCAGAAGGGACTTCTTACTGGGATTGCTTCAAGCCAGCTGATGTACGCCGTACCGAGATTGCTTGTGTGTCGTTCCTTGGTCAGATTACCTGCGGTGCCCAATTCGCCTATTCTGCCACGTACTTCTTCCAGCAGGCAGGACTTGACTCAGAGACCTCGTACAACCTCAATCTTGGCGGTACTGGAATGGCGTTCTGTGGCACTATTGCGTCCTGGTTCTTAATGAGACACATCGGCCGTCGAAACCTGTATCTCGCAGGTATGAGTGCTATGAGCATGTGGCTGCTCATCATCGGCGCTTTAGCTACCAACACTTCCAATCCGGCCGTCAAGTGGGTTCAGTCGATCCTTTGCTTGATCTGGCTACTTACGTTCTCTCTCACTGTTGGCCCAATTGGATGGGCCATCCCTGCAGAAGTCTCGTCTACGCGTTTGCGATCCAAGACCGTGGTCTTGGCCAGAGCCTCATACTACCTGGCACAAATCGTTGCCAATGTCATTCAGCCGTACATGATGAATCCTTCTGCTTGGAATTGGAAAGGCTAGTCGATCTCCCCCATTTCAGCGCTCTCAAATACTAACCCTTAGATCACAGGTAAAACTGGATTCTTCTGGTTCGCTTTTGCGTGTCTCAGTGTTGTCTGGGCTTTCTTCCGCCTGCCTGAAACAAGAGGTCGCAGCTACGAGGAACTTGACCTGATGTTCGAGGCCAAGCTTCCTACGAGGAAGTTCAAGACCTATCACGTCGATGCCTATGACAACAGCCAGGAAACAAGAATGGGTAAGGTTTAGAGCTGTACAGGGACTTCTCGGTGGCCGCTAGGAGCCTTGTAGCTTGTGAATTTTGTTTTCTTGTTGAGACAGCTATCGAAGTACTTGCTGGCCTAGCGAATGACCAACGGCAAACACTTGTACATGCGGCTCGAAGACATCCGGATCTATCAGTAATCGTTCCATAAGATATCAAGGGATCAACTAAGAAGTCATCATGCTGGCTCCCTTCTGACGAGTCTAAAACCCCATTACTCTACCAGTCCAAGGTGCGTTCATATTTGCCACTGCGGCATTTGTAGGTCTTGTAGAAATCTAGCGTAAGTCTCAGAAATACCCCAAGGCTTGTGCTGTTCCATCAGTAAACTAGATACCTCTTGCAGAATCTGTAACGGGCCTTCGTTTGTACACAGGTCATCTACTCCTTCAAGTGGAAGACGCAGGTCCTCACCAAATCTTATAAAGTACTGAACAAGTTCATCGTCCATCGGCCTGTCTAATTGCATGGCGCTTGGCATTCGCCGCCTGCTTGACATATAATTGTGCATCGCATGGCTTCCTACTGAACCATGTGTCGTGGTTGCAGAACTCACTGAGTCCTCGTTGTCGCTCACTGGAGACTGCGCTCTAGTGCATGCAGACTCGTAAAAATTTCGAATGTTTGAAGTTTGCCCATAAGCCCAGAGCACCAATGATGCAAGAAAGAGAGCAAATGGTTCAACAATTGAGTCTGATGAGTATCTCCTCACATGCCACAGAACAGCCCCAGCATGTATCACTGCGAGGCGAGCTTTGTATCGATCTTGAGTCGCCCAGATCTTGATAGTGTGTCTTGGTTCTAAGCTGGAAGTACCGTGGCGATAGAGACTACTTGGAGTCATGTGTGCCATCCCCGAGAGAGTACTCTGGTCAGCAAACGCAAAAAGGTCTTGAACCGGCGTGAGGAGTGAGAGGCGGGCTAGATGTAGATGCAGTAATACTGGACCTTCAAGTCCTTCTGCCTTGGCTGATAGACTGAGTGCTTCCCAGTGCAGCACATCCAAGCAGTCACAGCACTGATTGCGCCACTTGATGTATTCGGGCACTGAACCAAGGTACTGTCTCCCAGGTACATAGAGGTGTGGTGGATTTGCTTGTGGTATGTCGCGAATTGCATCAGTCAAATATTCATTAGCGTTCCATCTGCGATGGACCAGCATGTGGATTATGACAATGGTTGCAAAGGAATTCGACGAATGCTGCGACTTCAAGCCTTGCCAAAGCTCCAGTGTGACTTCAGGCACTGTAGGTCGTGAGGCTTCTTCGGCAGAGAAAGCTATTGGATCGGCATCTCTACCTGCTGACCTTGCCGTAGACCAAGCCTGTGGGGACTCGGCCGCCCATAATTCCTCCCGGCATGGAAGCCGCAGTTGAGGTTGATCGGGGAACAAGCACGGGTGATGCTCAGAAGCAAGAGCGAAGTAGCAACTGGCTAACTATACGTCGTATTAGAACGTACCATCACTCGCAAACAAGCGGGCTACTTACCCAAACAAAAAGACCCGTCCTTCTTCGTGTCTCTCGGAACCGCCAAGTGATCCACTTCTGCTCCATATTCTGATCATCTTGATAAGAGCCGATATTGTCATCCTCACCCAGTAGGCGAAGCCGAAGACAAGCTTGTGCTACCATGGATGAGGCGTTGTATCCGCATCTGAGCAGCTCCAGTTGACCACTTTGACAGAGCCCAACTGATGCAAGGATCCGGGCTTGTATATATGGCAACGGCTCCTGAGACTTGACAAAATCGAGCTACGCGAAGTCAGCTAGACTCTTCTCAGATGATGAGATGACGATTGACATACTTCTCTTGCCATTAGCTCATGCAGAATACAGCATAGGCAATCCCCAAAGCGATTGACTTCTTCAGAACCAAAATATTTAGAACCAATTGCAGCGGTGGCTAGGCACAGGCTCCAGCCCCAAAGGGGAATAGATAAGTGTGATCTGTCAACGAAAGGGTTTACCGGATGAAAGTGCTCGAAATAAAGACTAATAAATAGTTGAAAGGTAGTCTTAGTCAGTAGACTGTTCTTGTGCGTGGCAAAGTCGGCAAGGATATGGGAGCTGGTCTCATGCAAATCCAATCTCGACATGAGTTCCTCAAAGATACTATCTGGAATCTCACTAGATGCCCAATTACTTCTACTTGCTGCTGCGACTTTGGCATTTAGATCATTCAGCCACGATGGGTAGATATGGTGGCCAGGACTTGGCCCCTTGCCTTCGGCGTAAGCAGCTCGTCGTTGACGCATGTACCTCTCTCCTCTACTTTCCCGAAATCCCGCTCCGTCTGAATAATGCGTGGCTTGGGTGCTGGGAAGCGCAGTATTGTCACTGATGCCCGAACATTGTGTTTTCGCTGGCTTTTTTGAGGCCATGGAAGCAATCAAGGCAGAAACATGGTCTTGCTGTACGGTTTGTTCATGTATTCCTGGGAGAATTGGATGCGGTGTTTGCGCCTCGAGGTTCTGTCGAGCAATTGCGGATGCATCATCGACTTCACATGCTAATTGGGGCATGTCTTGGAGACTGTGCAACAGTGAGCTGTTTAGTGGGACATCGTCAAATGGCAGCCAGTTTGTGGGTAATGAATAGGTGTCCGGGATATCGCCTACGATACCTGTCGGCCTTCCAGGCTCATGCCCAAGATGGTCATCCACAGACGAGCTTTGACCGCCCTCGTTAGTGTTAAATCGATCATTTCCTACCAAATCCGTCTGGACTTGAGCAACAGAAGTCATGTTTTGCTGGTGCATCGGCGATTCAAGCCAATCGAGTGCGGCCCCAGGCGTGGCTACAATCCCAGGTGACTGCACGGTCGATGCCGCTCTTCCAGTTGCAGAGCCCTGCCCTTCAGAGGCATTGAGCATGATTTGACGTTCCCGTCGTTTCCGAGGCAGGTAAGAACACGCATAATTCCTTACAGCGCAGTAACTGCATGGCGTCCCTCCCGAGCATTTGATGCGTGATTTGGAACAAGGCATGCACGTTCGGCGCAGTGACGAAGCAGTTGAGTTCTGTACGCCTTCGGGTGCTTGGCGTTCATGTAACCGTTCATGTCGTTGTGCCGCATCCCTGGAAATCGATTAGCAGCAAATAACTTATTGACATGGCTCAAATGGGGTGTTTGTTCTTGGTGGGAGACAGTACTTACTTGCGACTGAATCTTCTACTGCAGTAGCTGCATTTGATTGTCTTTGTATGTGTATGGGTTTGAGTGTGTCGCTTCAGGTGCTCAAATCGTGAGAACTGCCGATGGCATGTGTCGCATACAAATGAGGTCATTTCCTGAGCATCATGTATTTCCAGCGACTCATTGCCAGTCGTATCATCCATGGCGTGTTTCCATGGAAGCAAGAGCTAGTATGAGTATTAGTAAAAGAGAAATCATCGGCACTAAAAGGGGAAAAGGATACTAATAAGTACTGGCTCCGTAGACTAAGCTACAGCACTGAAAAATAGCGACTGGGAGCGGGGAACGCCCCAGGCGGAGACTGCGAGGTAATAAGGTTTGTCTCAACAAATCGTTGCGCTGTGAGTATCCGTATTCACCCCGCACAACGCTTACTAGATCAGGAAAAGATGAGGCATCGAGACCCCAGTCAGCTTGGTCTTCAAGACCACTAACAGCAGCAGATAGAGGATATAGAGGCTTTTTGGGTGTGATATCTACAAAACATCCTTCTGTCTTTTGTCCAGATTCCACAAATTTAACAATACTGTGGATCTGTATCTCTTCGAGCTGGGTACTTCCTGCGGCCGAGGTATATTTCTCCCGTTGCTGTTGGCCTCGTGTAATGCTCGGAGCGTTGCAACGAAGCGGGAATGAGCTTGTACAATATATAGCAAAATGTACTTCACGAGGCCTGAAAATAATGCTGGTACGTAAAGCCTGACTGGTGGGGGGATGCTGCTGACTTGGCTTCTGGGGAGCGTGATTGACAAGAAAGATGGTGCTTTGGTTGGCCGGCATAAAGGCAGACAGAGCAAGCAATGTCGCAGGCTGAATCAACCCTACAGATACGGGACATGGCACGTAACATATAGACCCAATGCAGGGATAAATTGGAAAGAGTATTTGGGCACGCCAGATGACCAATGGTATTCAAGTTGCTAAACAAGCCCCGTTGGCTCAGTGGTAAAGCGTATCACTAGTAATGATAAGATCACTGGTTCGATTCCAGTACGGGGCAAGCGAAATACTATTTTTTGCAATTTTTTCGTTTTAGTTAATCAATTAATACCAAATCGCAGCTGGGCTTTGCAATTGCAGCGAAATATCTACTACCTACCTCGTCCATCTTAGTATCCTTGGTAGACTTAGCATCACACCAAGCGTGGAGCTCCAGATAGCCAAGTGACTTCCATGCCTCCTAGTACGAGAAGAGCTGCTATGTAGGTCATGTTTATCTCCGGCTTACCAAGTGTCTTGACCACATCCAGGAGCCCATCTTCTAGCATGTTTGTAATTTGACTATTACAGAGGCCTTCGATGGTAGATAGATTGGAGGACAAGGCAGGCAAGTGGTCGGGGAGAACTATAAACCGCAAAGTTTCACTGTAGGTACTGTTTATCACATTTGTAGATTTTTCAACCTTTAATATTCAGTTTATTGCATTCTGAACTAGATACAAAGCTATTGTAGTTCTATAGGTTATGACTCCGCTTGGCCCATATATTGTTCCGTGCACAGTAATTATCCCCCAAAACTAGTCTAGTATTACTGACATAGCTTGTAGACGCGTCAAGTAAGGTCCTTTTATCTCACTGACAAAGGGACACCCTCTTCTGGTCAACCCCAGATCTTGAAGAACTTATATATCAAGTCTGGTGGCAGAAACTACCAGGATGAGAAATCGAGAACAGACCTGATACGTACACCAGCTCCCAACCCCCTCTTAGTGGAACACCTTCTCCCTCCTCATCGCAAGGCTGCAAATTAGACAAATGGACCCGGCCGCGATAATAGGTACGTATGCGAGTTGAATTGCTCTCGTGATGCCATGGATAGCCTCTGCCTTTACGTCAGGCTTTGCAGAATCGATGAGTCCGCTCCCAACACCAGCGAGGGCGTCGGCAATCTCGGTCTGAGAGACGTTGGGGAAGACGCGTTGGAGAGCTTGCTGGCCATAGTTGACGAACAGAGCGCCAGACATGCCAGTGCCAAATACGATACCGAGCATCTGCCCGACTGTCATGAAGCCAACGCTGTAAGGGATCTCGGTGGGCTTTACTTTCATCTGGGCGACTGCAAAACCAGCTTGACAGAAACAGCCAACGCCAGTGCCGAGGATAATAGTATAACCGTAGATTTTGGCGTTTGATGTATGCTCATCAACGGTATCTGGTACACAGTTAGTACTTGCAGTTCAGGTATTAGAAGAGAACGGATGTTACTTACACATTAGAACTCCACCGATCAGCTCCATCAAAGAGCCTACAATATACCAAGGATAGTAGTATCCTGTTCGGCCCATGAATTGACCATTCAACAGGTTGAAGGCGACGAGGAACAGGATAAAGGGCAACAGGTGGACCGATGTCTCTACAGCCGTGATTCCGCGAGTGAACTGGTAATACAGTGGCAGGTAGAAAATGCCAATGAAGCTGCCAAAGGTAGCCAGCACTACACAAACACGTTAGCTTGAATGAATTAATACAAGAGACTTGTCGGAATGGATGACTTACTCATTGTAAAGAAGAGACAAATCATGGTACGGCTCTTCCAGAAGTGCATGGGAAATAGTCGGTTCTCAAACGTCGTTCCAATCTGGAAGATCTGCTGGAGAACAAACAGGATGAGCAAGACACCAGCTGTTACAAACAAACCAATGCTCCTGCCTGCATCCCAACTCCAAAGGACTCCGCCAAAGTTCATCGCCATGATGAGGCATAGGACGGAACCAATTGAAAGAGCCGTACCGAGGTAGTCGATCTGAGCTAGACGATTAGTCAAGGGGACACCCGCCTGAGGCTTGAAGTCGGGGAGGAGAAGGACGTAAATTGGACCAATGACAACCCCGACCAATAGGTTCAGATAGAAGGCCCATCGCCAAGTTGCACTACTATCACCAAGCGATCCTCCAACCACAGGGCCAAGAACTGTACCAATACCCCAGATGAAACCTGTAAGGCTGAGATACTTTGGTCTCTCGGCGTTCGTAGTGGTGACTGACAAGAGTGTCAAAAGGCCCATGTACATGCCGCAACCTCCCGCTCCAGCAATGGCACGACCGACGATGAAGGAGTCGATGTCGGGTGCGCCACCACAGAGTGCAGACGCACCCATAAAGACAGTGGTTGAGCCGATGAATAGCTTTTTTGCTGAGAACGTGCCATAGGCTTTGGACCAGGGGAGTGTGGTTGCGGCTGAGGCGAGGGCAAAAGAAACACCAAGCCAGGGGACAAGGTCAACGCGTTGATAGGTCTCTACGACTTTGGCTTGAACGTTGGCGACGACAGTGTTGTCTAGGGCGTAGAGGAACAGTGCGGAGAGAAGAGCGCAGACAACGAGGAACCACTATAACTCAGAGTTAGCAAACTCGCAAGAGGTCTGTTATGGGGCGATGATTTCTACTAACCTTGACGCCATGAATGTTACGAGGAGAGGGGTCTGGTGCTGGCTTTTCAACTTGAGGTTCTTTGAGGGCCTCGTTGCCTGAAAGGTCAGGGCCGGGAGATGGTGACAAGCGAGTCTCATCCGAGCTGTCGCCGGACCGTTTCTCCTGAGAGCAAGACATAGTGAAGAAGAATATTAGAATTCGTACAAGATTAAAGTTTTTAAGGTTACAACGCTAAAAGACACTGTTGAACGATGAGATAAAACTTCAACACTAGGCCGTAATCTGGAGTTATGTATTTCTGAAGCTGTGGAGAAGCATAAAAGTTTTCATATTTAAATTCGTAATTATCGCAACCAATAACCTGTTTCAGGGGGGCATGAAACGATGCTTAGAAATTACATAGAAAACGATAGAAAACATGCAAAGTGAAGGGATTCAGAACCCTGACGGTCTGGCCCTAAAGGGTAAAGAAAACAGGAACGAGGCGATGACGGAATCCGGCCCGTACCGTAACGTTACAGCACACTGTGTGGTATTCGCAAGGATTTTAGCCTGAAAATGGATTTCGTTCCCGTTGACCAGGGGTCGGGTGCATACGCGAGGTGACGGAGGGGCATAGGGCGCTGGCGTGATTGCGAGCCAAGTGAGCTAACACTAGTTGCCGCATTTGCATCTTGAGATCTGTCGATGATGGTTGTTCTCATCGGGGATATTCTCCAGAGGGCTGTGGACTAAAGTGATGAGCGCCAGGGATATAAAGTTGGGTCTTTCGACCGAGAAACTAGCAAGCGCAATCAAAACTCAATTCACAATCAAATTAGTAGTCTCTTGTTTTATTCTAATTTTTGTTCACATCTCTTCACAAAATGGCTGCAATTACGCAGGTTCAATCCTCTGACGGCAAATCAGCCTCTGTGGGATTTCATTTTCCCCAAAAAGAACAAATTCCACCAGATTCTATCGGTGTCGATCAGATTCTTGTATCTTTCCTTTTCTCCCCAATCAACCCCCAAGACCTCCTCGTACTTGCAGGTCGCTACCCAGTCAAGCCGCTGCATACCCTAGACAACCAGCCCGTCCTGGGTTATGACGGCGTGGCTTGCGTCGAAGCAGTGGGTCCTCTGACCAACCCGGAGAAGACCCACATTCGGCCCGGAGACTTAGTTGTTCCGCGTCGACACGGATTAGGAACCTGGAGAAGCCAAGCGATTCTTAGCGTGACGGATGTTATTCCCCTGTCGCCTACTAAGGATCTGCTTGGCGCATCCCTCTTGCGCATGGCGTTTCTGCCGGCTTACCTCCTTGTTGAGGATATGCGTGACTTGAAGCCTGGTGATTGGATCATTCAGAACGCAGGTTCTGGAACTATCGCGAGGCTTGTTGCGCAGTTTGCTCGCCTCAAGGGTGTTCGTACCTGCAGCGTCGTGCGCGATCGTGAGGGTAGTGTCTTGGATGCCCTTAAGGCTGATCTGCAGAGCCAGGGCGTCGAGATCGTAATCACCGAGGACGATCTCGCTAAACACGGCACGCAAGCTTCGGCGGAGCTCGCGGATGCTGCTGCCAAGGGTCGTATCGTGCTTGCCATCGACGCTGTTTTTGGTGAATCCGGCGAGAGACTTGCAAATGCACTGTCTCATGGCGGAACATATGTCAACTTTGGGTCTCTGGGTGGAGCGAGTGGAACTATTGGCCTATCTCAGCATTTGCTGTTCTGGTCAGAGGTTACCTTTAGGAACTTCCGCCTCTCTGAACAGTTGAAGTCTCGGACAGCAGCGGAACAAGAGTCTCTCTTGCTGTGGTTCCAAGACCTGCTTTCTCGAGGACTCCTGCGTACGCCACCTGTGGAGACTATTCAGGTTCCTCGGGATGTTGATGGCAGGGATGAGTTTGAGAGGCGTGTGAAGGAGGCTGTTACTGCAGGTCCTGCTGACAAGGTGGGAAGGGTCAAGCAGGTTTTGCAGTTTGGTAGGATCTAGCTGCATATGCGCCTCGTGAGTCTCAAAAAAAGTGATGGGTAGTAGGATTAGGTAGTAATGTAACCCTTTCATGCAAGCGGAAATCTTTTACGAGTTGTCACATACAGTGAGATTGCGTCATGCAGTGTACATGTTGTCTAACACCGAAAGAGGTAATAAGGCTTGTCGATACCTAATCCCTCAGCTGGCTTTTGTAAAGCATGTTAATAAAACACATGTGTCATAAGAATCAAGAAGGGTTGTGCTATGTTACATTGATGCCTTGTGTTTTGCTACCTTGTGCGGAGCAGTTTATACACCTTCCAAGTTGGGGTTTATGACTATGCTTGGTATTTCTAAACCGTAGAATAACTACTACAAATTTCATTCTTCTGGGGGCTCAAGCATGATTAGTCGGACAAGCCGTTAGTAAAAGGCAGTCTTCTCACTATATAGATAATAGCTAATGATTGCAAGACAAACGAGATGCTTAAGACAGATTGATTGATATATCTCGTGGGAATATCATAAGCTTTGACTATTAATCAATTAATTAATCAGTGTTTAAGACGGCAGTCAAATCTTTATAGCTATTTAGTAGGGAATATATAAGTTTCACCAACCAACGAGAAGCCTCAAGCCGATATCATGAGTCGCAATTACTCATTACTTCT